AAGGAAGGAAGGAAGGAAGGAAGGAAGGAAGGAAGGAAGGAAGGAAGAATCTGAGTAAGTTGCAGCCCAGGGATCCTTACTTAGAGAGGCCACCATCCCAGAATTTTCTGCCATGACCTCACGGTACAGGTCCTGCTGTCCTGCATCCAGCAGCATCCATTCCTCGTCACTAAAACGCACGGCCACATCTTCAAAACTCAGAAGCTCCTATGAAGCAGACAAATGACATCTACATTTATTCCTTTTATTATTATTATTATTATTATTATTATTATTATTATTATTATTGGATTTTTCCTTTTGACATATCTCAATTGCATGTTAAACAGTACAGTGACATCATTTATACAACTACATTTCATGTCCAATATAATCTGTACATTCTATTTCTATTACCTTCTACGTCTATTGTTATACATTTCCTTTTCTTATTTCTATTATCTATAGGTTGTACCATTTCTCCCATATTCGATAACATTCAGAATCCTCTTTTCCCTTTCATTCTGTAGTCAATTTATCCATTTCCATGCACTCATTTTTTTTTAATCACTAGACCTTCAGATGGCGTGCAGTCTTTCTTCCAACATTGCAGAAAGATAATTATGATGACCTGGGGCGTGGCACAAAGGCAACACAGTCACATGAGTAAGAAAAGTCCCTTTAATACCTCCAACTTTGCCCCCAATATCCAGTTACCTTTGGCTAGAGAAAAAACTCTCCCCAAGAACAGTCTTTAAGCTGAGAAAATTCAGTCCGAAAACAAAGTACATACAAACTGTAAATAAAAATCCACACAAACCACGCTGCAGCAATTAACTGGACAGGGCAGGATAAGGAATTGCAGACTTCAAAGGCCAACAAAACACACACAGTTGGGAAGATGCCAGGAACCCAGATAAGCCTCGGCAAGAAAAGATAACTCATGATTTGCTTCCCACAAGTTGCTGTGCACAACCTCCCTTTTTAAACACTGTGTTCCCAGCTGCAGCTAATGAAGGGAATCAGGGCCCTTTCCTTCCCCGTAAGCCACACAACTCATCTTGCTCCCTTCTCCGTTCCTCCCTGTGTGCCCTAGGATGAAGAGGGGGTGAGCCTGGGTCTTCCTTTGAATTTCATCTCCCGTGCTCTACCTCTCCCCTGCTCTGCCCAGCCGGACTTCGCCCTTCCCCAGTTTCTTCCACAGCCAACGGAGCCACACTTCCACTCTCTGCCAGGTGCTCAGCCTCCCCCTCAGAATCAGATTCCAACAGGGGCATGACAGCGATCATTGCTGCTATTATTATATGCAACACCATATATTTCGTCCTTTTATTGAATTTCCCTTTAATTACCCCTAGGAGAAATAATTCCGGAGCATTATTCTATTTGACTGCCTGTTAATTCCTGTAACCACTTTTGTATTTTCTTCCAATATTTTATCGCTTCAGGGCATAACTACCATTTCCAACAGTTTGGATTTGAATTTGGGTGAATCTTAGCCAGCCTTCTGGGTGCCAAGTGCCAGCGATAAAATATTTTGTGTTGGTTTTCTTTATGAGCAGCCAATTTTGTTATTTTGTAATTTATATTCCAAATTTTTTCCCCACTCCTCTAGCTCAATACCGTACCCAAAATTTTTGGCCCATTCTATCATTGACCTGTGGTTTCCGTGGTATAGTGGTTACATTTGCCTAACACGCAAAAGTCCCTAGTTCGAAACTGGGCAGAAACACATCTTTATCAAGATCAAGTGAGGTACTACCACCACTCTATAAAGCCTAAGTAAGACCACTCCTAGAATACTGCATCTAGTTTTGGTCACCACACTATAAAAAAGATGTTGAGACTCTAGAAAAAGTACAGAGAAGAGCAACCAGGATGATTAGGGGACTGGAGGCAAAAACATATGAAGAATGGTCACAGGAACTGGGCGTGGCTAGTCTAGTGAAGAGAAGGACCAGGGGAGACAGGATAGCAGTCTTCCAATATTTGAGGGGCTGCCACAGAGAGGAGGAAGGAGTCAAGCTATTTCCCAAAGCACCTGTAGGCCACACAAGGAATAATGGATGGAAACTGAACTAGGAGAGATTTAACCTGGAAATAAGGAGAAACTTTCTGACAGTGAGAACAATCAACCAATGGAACAGCTTGCCCTTGGAAGTTGTGCGAGCGCCATCACTTGAGACTTTCAAGAAGAGATTGGACTCCCATCTGTCAGAAATGGTGTAGGGTCTCCTGCTTGGACAGGGGGTTGGACTAGATGACCTTCCCTTCCAACTCTGATTATCTGTCTGTCTGCATAATTGTAAGAAGCCAGGCCATTCGAATGACCAAATCAACAAGCAAACCAATCAGCTGCTCAGACTTTAGACATCACTCCAAACGAACAAGCAATCACACGACCAACTGGCCACACAAGACGTCATTATAAGCTAATGAGGAATAGGACAAGAAAATCTCTCTGATAATGTCACCTAGTCGGGTAACAAAACATTCAGAAACGAAAGTGAAACAGGTGTGGAGAGCAAACCACTGCCAGAAACATTACCCATCATCCATGAGCTGCAACGCAATAGCCACGACTCATGACGTGATTTTATAGGAGAACAAGCCCTGCCTTTTGATGCAATGTCTTCTCTCTTTTTTTTCTGCCCTAATTTCCATTTTTTTGCAAAATCCTAAAATTCAGTGGAATGAGGCTTGAAAAACCCTGCTCTAAAACTTCTCATCTCCCATGAGTATAACAACAACAACGATGATGATGATGATGATGTCAGGATTCCGGCAATCACCCATATTAAATCAGGATTCTCGAGCCAAACTTCAAAAAACTTCAAAGGATTCATTAGAGTCGACATACTGGCACTGCCCTGTATGAAGCCAACTCTGGCATAAATAATTTACCGTCCCCTATGACCCTGTTTCCCCCACTTCCCCCTTGGTGTCTCATAAGCCAGATCCTCCAATTGAGCATGTTCATGGGATGTGTGTCATCAATCACGTTCTCCAATTAAACATATTCGTGGGCAAAAGCTCTGGTATTTTAGTTACAATCTTTTGAAGATAAGAGTTGGAATGTATTGTCGCTTCCAAACTGCTGCACTACTCTTCCACATTTCCTTCCTCTCTCTCCCCATTTTTTTATGGCAACTACTAAAACAGGCCTAGGAATGTTTTATGAGTTGACAAATAATAATAATAGTTCTACCTGGCTGAGTGGCCTAGCAGTCATTCCTCGGTCACTAGAGAAACTCCCTGGTTCCAAGGATGCCTGAAGAAGCTCCGTGGCATCTAAGAAGAAAGCAGATTTTTCATACGCATTGACATTCATCTGTACATAACATTTCTCTTCCGTGGGGGGAAACACATAGTGGAGGTTATTAAAATTGCCCTATTGAACTTGAATACTCTCGCATGGGGATGCTGCAACGGTCTTGTGTGAAACACATGATCATTGTCAGTTTTTAGTGCCCCGGTAACTTTGAACGGTCGTAAGTCAAGGACTACATGCGTTACGTGAAGGAAGGCTTCAGTTGGATAAGGAGCGTCTGCCACTGGTCTTGCTCTCAGAAATGGCAGATCTCCTGCCCAAAAAAGACAAACCAGGAAACGTTAAACTTCCAGTGCTCTGAAGCAGTGGTCGCCAACCAGTGGGCTGGGGACCACTGGTGGTGCGCAAGAAAATGTTGGTGGTCCGCAGAGAAATGTCACCCACAAAGCAATTAATCCAGGCTGCGCGGGAACACAAGGCTGCGCCGCCCACATGGCCTGCAGGAACACAAGTGTGTGTCACTTGCATTGCGAACAACACGAGGTAGTGATGGGAGGGGAGAAAAGGGGGGGGGGGAACTTGCCCCACTCACCCCACACACCTCGCCTGGCCACCGGGCTGCTTCTTTCTGTTTCTGTTTTTGGCTGCATGCAAGGAAAGCAGCAAAAGTCTTTCTTCCTTTCCCGCAAACTCCGCCAGTAATGAGTCTTTGGGACCCTTGCAAGGCCTCCTGCTCCAAGAGGCTGCACCGGCGCAACACGTCTCACAAAGACTCATTTCTGGGGAGAGAAAGAAAGACTTCTGCTGCTTTCCTTGCATGAAGCCAAAAGTCTCTCTCTCTCCCCCTGAGAACGGAGCTGGAGACGGTATCCTGTGATTCCAAATAAAGAATGATCGATCAGTAGGAAAACAGGGTGGGGTCTGACTGACATTTTTTTTGGGGGGGTATTGCTGTTCTCTCCTCTCTTCCCCCCCCAACCCAAAACTTTCATTCACGAGTCCCAGGAGACCCCTTACATTTCCTCCTCCCCAAAGCCACCTCACAACCAGCCCCGGTTGCTGCAGCGAAGAAGGAAACACACCTGCATCCCCAGGACCGCTGGATTTTGTCGCTTGGGAATGCGCGTCAGCAAGCACAATGAAGAGCTGGGATTTTGTGGCTTCCACACGTTCTGGTGGAAGTTTCCGCAAAGAGTCTGCAACAGCCAGGGCAAAAGTTGCGTATTCGTCATTGCGACAGCTGTTATTATTGGGGCTCCGTGGCGACAGCATTGCAGTATGAAGTTGCTCCCGGCATAGAGTGACCAAAGTGTCCAGTATCTTGTCCTTTCGCATCATCTTCCTCCTCTTTCTTGATTGGGGAACTGGTGGTTTTATGGGCGACCCAGTGAACATACTGGTTGAACTCTCCTCGTCCTCATCACTACTGTTCAATGAGGAGGAACCCGAGTGCCTGGATGCAGGGTGTGACGTGAATGAGATTTCGTCCATATTCAAGGCTGAATCCAAGGAGTCTTGCTCTAGATGACCTGTCGTGACATCCTCTGGCTGTAATTATATAAATAGAATAGAATAGAATAGAATAGAATAGAATAGAATAGAATAGAATAGAATAGAATAGA